CTGTGACATTTGCAACCTGGGACAGGTGCATGCCCCGGGCCTTCAGGCTCCCCAGAGTGCCAAAGTGATGATTTGAATCACCAGCCTTGAGGGGACTCACAGAGTAGGGCCTGGCTGCAGTGGCTTCATCTTTTGTTCAGTTAGACCATGTCGGTTTTTTGTTCGTTTGGCTTTTTTTTTTTTTTTTTTTGAGACAAGGTCATGTAGTCCAGGCTGACCTGGAATTTACTACGAAGCTAGCCTTGAACTACTTTCTGCCTCTACTTCCCAAGTGCTGTTATTATAGGCATGCACCACCACCACCACCACTGACTGCATGGACTTTGAGAGGTGCATCTTGGGCCCTTGTCTCTAAGTTCTAGGCTGGCCTTGCCACAGCTAACCAAATGGACAGTTTCAGGACTACCCCTAGAAAAAAGTATGCTCATCTTGTGAGCCACACTATTGTGGGGGTGAGCCACACTATTGTGGGGTAGATGGGAAAGGATAGAGACCCGGCCTTACTGAGGGCCTTGTCCTCTGCTTCCGGGGACTAAGTCCCTGCTAATCTAGCACAGGTAGTCCTCTCTCCCTCCCTCCTCTTATCCTTTAACCCTCCAGGCTCAGGGCCAACCAGGTGCCCTCACTCAAGCAGGGAAGGAGGGACTTTATCCAGAACAGGATTCCAGCTTTTTTTTTTTTTTTTTTTTTTTTTTTTGTCTTTTTGAGACAGGGTCTCCTTGTAGCCCCAGCTGTCCCGGAACTCACTATGTAGATCAGGCTGGCCTTGAACTCACAGAGATCCACCTGCCTCTGCCTCCCAAGTGGCTGGGATTACAGGCGCACGCCCGGCTAGTCCTATTAGCCTGGTGAATTTGAGGCTTGGTTTCTCCCAATTGGGCAGGTCCTTACAGTCCGGAGAAGGCTGCTGCTGTTAGTGCTATGGGGGTGCGGTGCTTGACAGGCGCTGCAGCTGGGGACCGTCTGCGGGGGACGGCCGCGGGCGCACAATAGCAGTCATTGTCTCCAAACGGCCGGCGGGGGGCCCGCCCAGCTCACCCTCAGGGTGACCCCGCCCAGGGATGGGGGGAGGCCGCCCCCGGTGGTCCCCGCGCGCCCCTCGTGCTTCCTCCCTCGCCACCGCCGCTTCCTCCCGCTCCCTCTGCTCTAATTAGTTCCTTTTGCAGCTGGAGGAGGTGCGAGGGCTCGGCCGGCCCGCGCGACCACCACAGCGCGCTCCCCCGCAAGCCTAGCAGGTCAGGGCGTAGCGCGGAGCTCAGCGCGGCCTTTGATAGCTGATCACAGCTCCACAACCCGGGAGCCTGGTGCGAAGTGCACCACCATCTGACCATCGGGGAAACTGAGGTTTCTCCAGCAAGGCCCAGAGGGTAGTCAAGTCCGCGGGCTCCCCGGCCCTTGGCTTTGCACTGTGGACATCTGACTGGGAGAGGCAGAGTTCCTGCCCTTGCGGACCACCCCCACCCCATTCCAGAGACCAACTGGACACCGGGTCCAAATCTGTACAATGAGGATGCTGGGGATACCCGGCAAACAGCCAGGCCTCTCAGCGAGAAAGCTGGTGTCACCCTTCCAAGGGTCACGGTTCCCCCCAACCCCCCATCCCGGGCATTAAGTCTGGCTGGCGATTGTGGGGTCGGCTCCCGTGGGGCTGAGCTGCAGAGGCGTCTAGGACCGCTGGGGACCTGGCTCTCCCTGCCCCTTTCCCCCAGCGCTGGAACAAAGAGTAGAACTGAGCCCAGACTGGCTGCTACTGGCTGGGAATAGGGACGGGGAGGAGACAGTTTGAGGTTGGCCAAGGTCAGAGCATGAGTCGGGGGTCATAGGCCATCTCCTCCCTGGGGCGCTGTGGGGAGGAAAACTAGCAGGGCCGCTCTGGGGCAGCTCCTTCCTGATTTCTCAGGAGGGGCTGCAGTGCCTGGGCTGGGCTTTGGTTTCCAAATATGAATCCCTGCTTCCCTGGGCAGAACCCAGGGGCAGGAAGTGGAGGGGTGTCCCTGGGGACTGGGTCTGCTGATGGGGATGTCACTGGAGTCTGTTCAACTATGGGCGCCGTGTCCTGTTTTAGCTGGGAAAATGTGTTTCTCTGCTGGGGTCTTCCCCAGCCCTGGCAGTGTTCCCCTGTGTATCCTCAGAATGAGGAGACTCAGACCAGTGGCTCCTCCTGGTCTCCCTCTGGTGGGGAGACAACATGGGACAGTGGAGCAGGTGCCAAAAAATACTGTTTGGGTGGCACTGCCAATGGAAGTCAGTGTCTGCTTGAATTTCTACCTCTGAGCCATCCTGCCAGTGGTCTCCCTTACTGTAAGGTGGGTGATGGGGGCAGGGAGGCCTGTGGCTCTGGGCCAGCAGAGGGACCAGGCCACCAGCCCTTCCTGGCTCCTGAATTCTTAATCAGCATAAATATTTACTTCCTTCCTCCCCTTCCAGGCTCCCAGCACAGAGGAGCTTTGGGGAGGCTGGACTGGGCCTGTGTCTAAAAATAAACAGGTGGATGGACAGATAGACAGGCAGACATAATGGACTTACAGGTCAGGCAGAGGGCAGCCCCTGCCCAGACAAGAATGGATGAGCAGGCTCAAAGCTACCTATCACTTTTTACCCACCCACCTGCCAGCCTGGGTCTAGGGCCCCTGAGAGGGGTGGTGCTCTGATCCCCAGGGTGTTCCTAGGAACCACTGGTCCAGGCCTGGTCTGAGAGGGAACACCCTAGTACATCTGACAACTTGAGTGGGGACAAGTTGCAAACCTGAATCCCACAGTCCAGAGTGGCTGCCTGTGCTCCAATGATACAACCTTGAAAGGTGGGCCAGCCTCCCTATGCCTAGACTACATGTAGCCACATGTGTAGGACCTGGGTCTGTGTCCCTCACATGCAGTTCAAGCCAGGGACGGGGCATCTTCCTTCTTATGTGCATGGGGAGTGTCCCTGAGGCTTGGTGCTGTGGGAGGTAGGCGGGATGGAGGATTGGGTCTAGGAAGCAGGTGAAGGACTGGCTGGGTGAAGCTGCCCTGGAGTCTGAGCCTAGAGAAGGGATGAGTGGGGACACTGTCTGTTCTCTCTACCTTGTTCCATCCCTGTAAGAGAACTCTGGAAGCTCTGGTTCTATATAGGTCATACTAGCCCCCAAGGACATACTCACGGAAGTGTCCCAAGTATTTTCCAGTGAGTGGTTCCTCCAGCCATGTCCACCTTTTATATTAAATACAGTGACTGGCAGAGTTTTAGTAGTAAGGCTTGGTTAGTAGAGAGATTTTTTTTTTCCAGACAGGGGTCCACCTCAGCTGGCCTAGAGCTCATTATGTAGACCAGGATAGCCTTGAACTCACAGAGATCCGTCTACCTCTGTGCTGGGATCAAAGGTGTCCACCATCACACATGACCTAGTAAGAGATTTTCAAGGTGTGACAGTCTGCATGAAGGAAGGCTGGGAAATAGGTGGGAGTGTTCCCCAAGGGTGAAGAGACTGCTGCTGGGAAAATGAAGTGTGAATTTGATAGGAGCTGGCCTTGTGCTTGGGTCAGTAAGTCTTTTTTTTTTTTTTAACATTTTATTATTTTGATTTTATGTGTACGAGTGTATTGCTTGCATGTATGTGAGTACACCTGTGTCGTGCAATGCTTCAGAGATCAGAAGAGGGCTTTGGATTCCCCTGGAACTGGAGTTAAGAACGGTTCCTAGCCACCATGTGGGTGCTGGGAATTGAACCCCTTTCCTCCATTGCACTCCACCTTATTTTTTAATATTTATTTCATTGTTTTTTAATGTGTATGAGTGTATTGCCTGCATGTATGTAAGGGCACCCATGTTGTGCATCACCTACGGAGGTCAAAAGAGGGCATCAGATCCCTGGAACTGGAGTTACAGACAGCTGTTAGCTGTCACAGGGGTGCTAGGACTTGAACTCCAGTCCTCTGCAAGCAGTCAGTGCTCTTAACTGCTGAGCTGTCTCTCCAGCCCCAGATCAGTAAGTCTTATGAGTCCATTTATGTATGTGAAGATTACACCAGTGAGAAAAACGTAAGAAAAGGAAGAAAATCACAGCATGAAATTTGTAAGAACATTATCACCAGTAAAGTAAATAAATAAAGAACTATCTATAGTTCTTTGCTGGTTTTTTTCTGCCAACCTTGCCTAGCTGGCCTGGCCATGGTCCCAAGCTGATCAGTAAGTCTTATGAGTCCATTTATGTATGTGAAGATTACACCAGTGAGAAAAACGTAAGAAAAGGAAGAAAATCACAGCATGAAATTTGTAAGAACATTATCACCAGTAAAGTAAATAAATAAAGAACTATCTATAGTTCTTTGCTGGTTTTTTTCTGCCAACCTTGCCTAGCTGGCCTGGCCATGGTCCCAAGCTGCCCCCTGGTGGCAGCTGGAGCCCTGTGGCTCTTGGTGGCTTACGGAAGCCTCTCTTTGCCTTACCTAGGAGGTAGAGTCCTTGCCTGTCCTTCCACTGTCATGGCCAAGCTTAGCACAGCTTACCTGGGACAGGCCCTCAGCCTGCTTCACTTAAAGTTGACATAGTGACCTGCTGGGAACAGAGGAGTGCTGGCACAGTGGGCACTAACTGCACCTCAGAGGTTGTATGTTGCTCCATAGGCCTGCTTTTGGGTCTTTGGATTCAGACTTGCAGGTTTCCCAGGCACGGCTCCCCATTCCGTCAGAAGTGACAGTTGGCGCTTGGCCAGCCAGTTCCTGGGAGAAGATCTGGCCTTAAGTCTGGTTGTTCTGCCACATGTGAGTTCTGTGACCTAAGGCAATCTCTAAAACTCACTTTCATTGTAAAACGGAGACAGTAAAGTGTCTCCCCCAAAAGACTCATGGGGAGTGGAGATGGAACCCTGCAGTGGGTGGATGGCCACTTTTTGTAACTGTAGTTCAAGGGTACTCAGGCTGTCCCTATTCCATGCCTCTCCTGTTCCTGGGAGTTTTAATTGGTGCTGCTGGAGGAGGAACCTAAGGTTGAGTGTCACTGCACAAGCTGTGTCCTTCTCCAGGTTCCTGCCTGAAGACCAGCTGGGTACTACATTCTGCCTGCTGCTTTCTCTGACCCTCCCTATCACCATGCACTCCTTGGACGAGCCGCTGGACCTGAAGCTGAGCATCACCAAGCTCCGGGCGGCAAGAGAAAAAAGGGATCGGACACTGGGTGTGGTCAGGCACCGTGCTCTGCAGAGGGAGCTGGGTCTAGTGGATGATAGCCCTACACCTGGCTCCCCGGGTTCCCCACCCTCAGGTACTGCACCAGGCAGGGCCAGGGTCTCAAGATGAGATTGTACCAAGGCTTGTCCAGGACAACATAGCTGCAGGCCATCAAATTCTGGTTTATACTACCATCACCACACTTGTTCACTCATCTGAGTTAAATAGCTGAGACCTACCCAATTCACAGTGGGCACATGACCTAGCTCCACCCAGGATCTGTGGATTTGGAAAGAAGTGGGTGAAGAGCAAAGCAGTAGCAAAATCCCTAGATTTTAACATTGGTCTTTGAGATGGTATAGCTGGGCAACCAAGGTGGTAGACTCGGAACAGAATAGGCAAATATGACTCATGGTTACTTACCACATCTGTTCTGCCTCCAAATGGAATTCTGAGAACCAGTTTTGCTGGGTGCTTGAGTAGAAGGCTCCTAAGGCAGCCCACCCCAAACTTCCCATTTTACAGAAGGGAACACTGAGACAGAAAGGTCCCTTCCTGCTAACCTGACAAGGAGCAAAGGGTCTTGTGTTCCAGTTCCTGTTCTGTTGTTCATCCTATGTGCCAGATAGGTCTCATCTGTAGGTTTAGTACTTTGCATTTTGTGTCTTCTTTGTTGTGGAGGATTATCATGTAGTGTAGGCTGGCCTTGAACTCATGTAGCCCAGCCTGGCCATTAACTCTTGATCCTCCTGACTCAGCCTCTCCAGTGCTAGGATTACAGGAATGAACCATCATGTCCAGCGCCATTTGTTTCAGGTGCCCAGCTCTGCTGATAAAGGTCAGATGAGATGATGATATCACTGTCAGTTTAAGCTGTTCCTTAGATATTAGGGTCCCAGAGTAGTTCAGGGGGAGGGAGCATGACTTATTTCCTCTCAGATCATAGTGGGGATCCAGAGGTGGTAGGAATCTGGTCCAGTAGGACTCCAGCCCCCCTCAGACATACTCTTCCTTAGGCTTCCTGCTGAACCCCAAGTTCCCAGAGAAGGTCGATGGGCGCTTTTCCACAGCCCCCCTGGTGGACCTCAGCTTGTCACCACCGTCTGGACTGGACTCCCCCAATGGCAGCAGCCCCCTGTCCCCTGAGCGCCAGGGCAATGGGGACCTGCCTCCACTGCCCACTGCTGCGGTAAGAAGGGAGGGTTCTGGATAAAGTATACTGGTTTCCTGGGGCTCCATAATAAGTACCACCAAATTGAGTGGCTTGAGACAACAGTTCTAGAAACTAAAGTCTAAAGTGAAGATAGTGTCAGGCCATGTTCCCCAGAAGGTTTCTGGGGAGACTCCTTCCTTGCTGCTCTCCTAGACTGTCGAGGCTCCAGTCCTTGACACACATCCCTGGGCTGGGAGCTGCATCCCTTGGCTCTACCTGCATCTTCACCCTGGCCCTTTTCCCTGTGTGTATGTCTGTGCCTAGACCGCCCTTTCCTTTGTCATCAAGACACAAGATGCTGGATTTAGGGACACCCTAAGCCAACAGGTCGTCACCTTAACTAATACTCTAGCAATGACCCTGTTTCTGAACAAGGTCATACAGGCAACATGGATTAGGACTGGAATGTGTCTTTTCCTTTTGAGATAGGATCTTACTACTTACTATGTAGTTCGGGCTCACCTGGAACTCATTATGTAGACTGGGTTGGCCTGGAACTCAGAGCTCTGCTTGCCTCTGCCTCCTGAATGCTGGGATTAAAGGTGTGCGCCAAAATATCTGAGTATGTCTTTTTGGGAGATATCATTTCAACATGTTCCACGAGGAGGGCTGAAGTGGGAGTCTAGGCCTGCCAGTGGGGCACACTAACCAGCTCCTATTCTTCTCTATAGGATTTCCAGCCACTGCGTTATTTGGATGGTGTTCCCAGCTCCTTCCAGTTCTTCTTGCCCCTGGGCTCGGGGGGGGCCCTGCACCTACCTGCTTCCTCTTTCCTCACACCCCCCAAGGATAAGTGCCTCTCACCAGAGCTGCCTCTGGCCAAGCAGCTGGTGTGTCGCTGGGCCAAGGTGAGTGGGGGCCGGGAAGAGTGGTGAGGGCTAGGCTAGTGCCCCACCTGGGCTCAGAACCCTGCCTGGCCCCACAGTGTAACCAGCTTTTTGAGCTCCTGCAAGACCTGGTCGACCATGTCAATGACCACCATGTCAAGCCTGAGCAGGATGCACGGTACTGCTGCCACTGGGAGGGCTGTGCCCGCCACGGCCGTGGCTTCAATGCCAGGTGAGAGAGCAGGGCAAGGGCAGGAGGGGAGGGACTGGGTGCCCAGAGAGCTGAGTGTGCCTCTGGGCCCTCCCTGGAGCAGGTACAAGATGCTCATCCACATCCGCACACACACCAATGAGAAGCCCCACCGCTGCCCCACCTGCAACAAGAGCTTCTCTCGCCTGGAGAATCTGAAGATCCACAACCGCTCCCACACAGGTGAGCAGCCTCTCCAGCAGGGTGCCAGATACCCTGGGGGCAGGGACTCAAAGGAAAGACCAGACCTTAGAAAAGGGACAAATCTCATCGATTACCCTCCACCCCTTGTGGTTTAAGACAGGTTCTCATGTTGCCCAGGCTAGCTTCTAACTATGTATTCAATGTTGACCGTGAACCCCCAATCTTATTCATCTCCAAAGTGCTAGGATTACAGGCGTGGCTTTCATAGCATCTTGAAGGACACTTGGTAGGGGAGCCTTTTCATGAGCATAATCATTTGACACCACATGAGAGCTGGCAGAGACTGGGTCTGTCTCTCCTCACTACCTTGAGCTGTAGAGAGTCAGATGCCTAATTTCATTTTTATTTTGTTTAAGTTTTATTTCACTAATTTTTTGAGACAGGGTCTTCCTATAGGCCCAGCTAGCCTAGAACTCACTATGTAGACCAGGCTGGTCTCTCTTGTACAGAGGGTGCTAGAATTAAAGGTGTGCACTAACACCCCTGACTTCTGTTGTTGTTTATATGCCTAATTTCAAGTTGCCTAATCACATTAAAAAGCAAGCAGCAGAAGGGCATGCTCTTAATTCCTGTACCAGGAAGCAGAGGCAGACAGACCTCTGAAAACAAAGCCAGCTTGGTCTACATAGTGTGTTCCAGGCCAGCTAGGGCTACATAGTGAGATCCTGTCTCAAATACAAAACAAAGCAAAAGAAAATAAAGTTAAATGAATTATAATTATATATTTCATTGAAACGAATATATATATATATATATATATACATCTCTAAATTATTTCAATATATTTGTTGCTGCTTTTCAAGCGTCTTGAGTTACTTAAGTCATTTATTTGTGTTCTTTCCGATTTTTTTTTTTTTTTTTGGTCTTTTTGAGACAGGGTCTCCCTGTAGCCCCAGCTGTCTTGAAACTCACTAGATAGACCAGGCTGGCCTTGAACTCACAGAGATCCGCCTGCCTCTGTCTCCCAAGTGCAGTACTTTTTTTTTTTATGAGACAGTTTCACTATATAGCTCTGGCTTCTGGAACTCACAGTACAGACTAGGCTGGCCTCAAACTCAAGAGATCAATCCGCTTCTGCTTCTGGAATGTTGGGATTAAAGGTGTGCCCTAACACACCTGGTTATTCTTTTCATACAGAGTCTGGGAAGTCTGGTATGTATCTTACCTTCACTGTACCATCTCCTTTTGGACCCAGCATTTCAAAGGCTCTTTGGCCACAGGTGGCTCCTGCCCTGGCTAGCATAGAGCCAGAGGCTTAGTAAATGCTGAACCATTCTGAGTAAAGCCACATGAAGGACAGGAGGCACTTCATGCTTCATGTAATTACATTGCTTCCAAGGTCACTTCTGCCTGAGTTTACAGATCTATCAACAAAGGAATCTGAAGGGTATGCAGCAAGGCCCCTGCAGAGCTGCAGTTTTCCTCAGGTTGAGTTCTGCCTGCTGCTCTTAGCTGGGTCAGCCTCATGCCAGGCGTTAGCTCTATCAAAGTTGGAGTTCTCTGGTAACTCTGCCTGGGAGAGGTGAGGAGTGGGGTGGGTAGATCTGGGAAACCCCTTACACAGCCCACCCCTGCAGGTGAGAAGCCCTACATCTGCCCCTACGAGGGATGCAACAAGCGCTATTCAAACTCAAGTGACCGCTTCAAGCATACGCGTACTCACTACGTAGACAAGCCCTACTACTGCAAGATGCCTGGCTGCCACAAGCGCTACACAGACCCCAGCTCACTGCGAAAGCACATAAAGGCCCATGGCCACTTTGTGTCCCATGAGCAGCAGGAGCTCCTGCAGCTGCGCCCACCCCCGAAACCACCCCTGCCCACTCCTGACGGTAGCCCCTATGTCAGTGGGGCTCAGATCATCATCCCCAACCCTGCTGCCCTTTTTGGAGGCCCCAGTCTGCCTGGCCTGCCTCTACCTTTAGCCCCTGGCCCCCTCGACCTCAGTGCCATGGCCTGTGGAAATGGTGGGGGTGGTGGTGGGGGCATGGGCCCTGGGCTGCCAGGCTCTGTTCTGCCCCTCAATCTGGCAAAGAACCCACTGTTGCCCTCGCCCTTTGGGGCTGGTGGACTGGGCCTGCCTGTGGTTTCCCTCCTCACAGGCTCCGCTGGCGGCAAGGCTGAGGGGGAGAAAGGGCATGGGTCAGTGCCTGCCAGGGCCCTGGGCCTGGAGGATCACAAGACTCCCCTGGAGAGGACGGAGCACAGTCGCTCCCGGCCAACCCCTGACAGACTCCCCATGCTGCCAGGCACTGTACTGGACCTGTCCACAGGCAGCTCGACGGCCAGCAGCCCAGAGGCATTAACTCCTGGCTGGGTGGTCATCCCACCAGGGTCTTTGCTGCTCAAACCAGCTGTGGTGAACTGAGCCTGGGCCACCTACCTACCACCAGCTGTGGGAGTCCAGCCAGCTGCTGTGGGCTTGTCCCAGACTAACAGAAACTCTCCTGCGAATAGCAATAATATCCTACTGCCTTGGGGATCGTAGTGTCTGCTCCCTGGGCAGCTGTAGCCCCAGAAAAGCTGAGTGGCAAGGATGGTGCTAGAAGGTCTTTGCTGGCTTCCTGGCTCCAGAGTGAGGACTTGGCCTGGACCTGCTGTCCAAGGAGAGCCATGCTCTTAGGTGCTAAGGCCTCACTTCCAGTCCTCTATCCCATAGTTTAAATGAGGCCTTCCTCTGCCTGTCCTCCTAGGACCCTCAGTCCTCCTGCCTCTCCCTCCCCCGCTGCCACCCGGTGCATCCCTCTTCATGGTCAGCCTGCACAGGTTGCCCTCTCACCCTGCCTTGCCCATTTGCCAACTAGGGACTCCCCTCCACCCCCCTTAGTGATCATAGGCCCATTTGGGAGCTCCTTGAACCCCTTTTCCTCTGGTCACTCTATGGAGGGAAAGCAAGACAGACACAAGTCCTGGCTAAGCCCCAGAGAAAAGCTTCATCCTCCCTGTCTATCTATATGACAAGGTGCTTCTCTGCTTACAGAGCAGGGAGGCCCGCTCTATTAGCGACCCCCTCTCTCCTGCCTGAATCAGCACTGCCAGCAGGTCAGCAACACTCTCCAAAGAGGAGGGGTAGCTGACCACTCACCTGCCCCTGCACCTTGGGAGTATAAAAGCAGGTCCAAAGGATCACTGCCCTGGGGACAAGGGGTTGTCAGGACTGTGGTCCAGCCAGGCTTGGGTAGGGCTAAGCTCCATCTTCACTACAGCTTAGCTTGGCCTAGGTAGTATGTTACCCTCAGAGGCTCACAAGGCTTCAGTTCTACACCAAATGGCAGAAGGCTGGATGAAGACACCCCAGGTCTGGGGGTACCAAGTCATGGAATGCCAGGAAGGGCCCAATGTCAGGGAGCTTTCTAGGAACCCTGGACTGAAAGCCTGGGGTGGAAGAGAGGCTAGGCAGCCAATGATAAGTCATTGGAGGGCCCTAGCCCTCTGCTCAAGGAAAAGGTGACAAGAGGAAGAAGTCTGTACCCTGTGATAGGGTTGCTTTGTCTGACTTCCCAGCTGAGCTCTTTTCTTCTTTTGTGGTGCCTCTCCCTGCCCATATTCCGAGCCAGCTCTTCCAAGGCCTGTGCTATTCAGAATTGGGTCTAGCACTTCTCCAAGGCTAGACTAAGCCAAGGACACTGGAGTGGAGAACCACATGCTCCACAGCCCTACAAGGCTAGGTGCCCCAACTATGCTGCAGAGTGGCAAATCCCTCATTTTCCCATCTGTAGAACAAAAGAGCTGCTGGAACAGTAATAGGGTCCTTAGTAGCCCTATGGTTCTTCTGAGCAACTCTGCCTATCCTATTCTTTCCCAGACTGCCCTTCTGTCCCAGAAGGGTCACCCTGACCTGCCCTGCCCTACAGCTGGGCTTAGGACCCCAGCCCTAACAGGGCTTGGCTGTGCTGGCTCTACCCCTTGAAGGGGCTGTGAGTAAGGTAGGGAGCTGGTCTCCTTTCTTTCGGTCCAACAGAGGACCCAAGCCACCCCCCTGGCTCTGTTAGGGCCCTAGGCCTTAAGTCCCTGGCTGGGGGGTTAGGTTTGAGACACAAGCCCAGGAGCAGAGGAACAGGGCACTGGAAAGTGACATTAGCTCAGCATGTGATTCAGTGATAGACCAGGCTTACAAGGGCCGGTATACTTGTTTTTGTCAGTTTGTTGTTGCACATTCCAGGATATCAGTATTTTAACAGGTTCTAAGTGCCTTTCTATTGTAGCTTATGTTTTTCCTCCTTGGCTCCATTGCTGTTAGCATAGAGTTTTAAAAAGAGATAAGCTAATGACTATAACAATATATTCCTCTATGTGAGAGGAAATTTATAAAGAAACAATAAAAGTGAGTTGCAAAGATGGTTTCTGTGTAGTGAATATGCCAGGAGCTGGGCAATTTGCCCTTTGCCTTGCTGTGGGCACCCCAACTAGAGTACCTGAAGGCCTGGCCTAGGGCTCTCTCAACCTGCAGAGGCCACCCTTAATCTGAGGCTAAGATCAGAAGGCCCACCCAGTTAAGACTGGAAAGGGAAAACTGGGAGGGTGGATAAGGAGGTAAGGATATTCTGAAGGTTAAGGATCTGCTATGCCTGCTGAGACTGATGACAACTTGGACCAAGTGAGAAGCTAGCCAAAGCTTCTCCTCAGGTACACACTGGAACATTTCTGCAGTTTGCTGAAAGCAGTATCCAAACACAGCCAGGAGTTCTCAGTCCAAGGATCCTTTACCCTGAGGGAAGGCATGGGCAGCCCTGTGGGCTTCCTCAGAATTCTGTGTGGCAGGATGCACGGGAACAAACAGGAATGGCTACAACCGGCTGTAGCCTGGTTTACTCTCAAGCAGGCATGGGGCCGTTCACCAATACCCCCCCATCAGGCTGTCAAAGGCTGCTGCTTCCTGACCCCCACACAGCCCACAAAGGGAGGACGGCGAGACAACCTTCTTCAATAGGGCTGCATGCACAGGAGAAAGGTGGAAAAGACATTTATTACCAAGCTATAAATTATGAGGCAGTGGGTGGAGTGGAGAGAGCTGAGTAGTCACGTTTTGGGCATCTGCCCTTTCTGTGTGTCCTCCTGGGCTTGTATCCGGAGTTCCTCATCTAGGCGCTCCTTCGCACGGACAACCTGGGAGGAGGTGGAAGATCAGCCCTGGTGGAAGATTTGCCCTGTACCGGATGGAGGGGAGGGCCTTTTCTCTTTCTGTCCCAGACACCAGCCACCTCACTAAAGGATAGTGGGTAGGCAGGATTCAAACAACTCTTTTAATAGCATCCTAGGGTAGGAGGGAGGGAAAGTCTGTGGCTTACTTTCCTCAGAGTCAAAAAGCACTCACCTTTGATTGTAAGTAGAAGGAACCACCCACGGATTTATCATTCACCTTAAATAGGTGCTCATAGTTCTGTAGGGAGAAGAGACAGTGAGTGGGTCTACAGTCTCTGGGCAAGACTATAGGGGAGACTGAAGGACTTGACCTCTGACCCATACACCATTCAGGAAGCTGCTGTGACCACTGAGTGTTAGAAACGGACATGTGGCCATGGAGGTAGGTATGGCTCAGCTGCATGTATCTGCAGTAGTGCTACCCAAGGCTCCTTAAACTCCCACTTGCTGTGGTCAGACGCTCCACACCTGCCTCTTTCTGCCTGGCCACTTCCACCCCCAACTTCCAGAGTCAGTCTGGGGCCTTACCTTCTGGACCTCCTCAGGGTTTAGCTTGGAGATGTTGAGAATCTGTTGGGCCTCCTGGAGGCTGAGGCCAGAGAGGTTGGATGCAGCTGCAGACTGGTGCCCAGCACGTCCCCTAGCATCAGCAGCTGCCCGGCTAGCTGTGGGACACATGAGTTATTGCTCAGCCCAGAGCCCCCAACTAGGCCTTTCCAAAGGCAAAAAAGAGACACAGTTGTCTGGAGTAGCTTTTTGGAGGGGAGGGGAAGGGGGCAGACACACCTCACTGAAGGATAAGGGCAGGGTCAAACTGGGATCCTGGTCAACCCAATCTAGATCACTGGATGACTTTGACCTTTTTTTCCTCTCTCCCTGTCCCAGGGGTATAGCAAATTGGGGCGGTTTAAGCTACTTTGGGCACCAGGGTGAAGCTACAGGCTGCAGAGGAACAACTGCTGTAGTCAGCTTCCACACCTGGCCCAGCCTAACACAGCAGACTGCCTCTAGTGACTGCAAAATCAAGAGCCAGCAAACTTTCTCTTAAACTGCTAGATAATAAACTTTTTGACATTGTAGCCAATTAGTCTTGTGTTGGAATTACTCAGCTTTCCTTCAAACTAGCCAGAGGATGAAACTATGTTCTAATAAGACTTCATTTGCAAAAGCAGGAGGCACAAAGTGCTGGTTTGTTCAAGCCTGCCCTGGATGCTCATTTACCAGGCCTGACAGGAGATAAACCTCTCCAATATATGAGAAGGTCCCAAAGTCTGGCACTGTCTCCTAAAATGGGAAAGAAGTCCAGGCCACTCAAGCTGCAGAACCCTAACCCACAGAGACTCCGTCATTCACAATCTGTGGGAAAAAAAATCTGACCTGAGCAGGAGCTCCCAGCACACGAGACAGGCAGAGGCTTACCTGCAAACTCCTGCCGCAGGGCCCGAGCGAATGCCCTGCCCACCACCTGCACACCCATCACGATGATCTGGGCCAGGTACTTGGCCTGTGGGCAAAGGAGGCACCTTGGAGATGGCTGCTAAGTGGGGGTCCAAGGGCCACCTCCTCTAAACTCCCTTGCTTTTGGTGACTTCCAATACCCACTGGAGTAGTCAAAGGCAGACTAGTTCCCCTGGGCCCTTAAAGACAGGAACAGAGGGTTTCAGGGCACTGATTTTAGGAAGAAACTATGGTCTGGGAGCCAAAACAGGGCAGTCTCAGACCAGAACCCAGGGCAGGATGATGAGTTTGAGGCAAGCCTGGGTTTCACAGTGAAACCCCATCACCAAAAAAAACCCCAAACCAACAGGCTAAGGCAATGACTTTGCAGGAAAGAGTGCTTGTTCCTGTAACTATCAAGAGCAAAGTTCAGATACCACTACCTACATAACAAGTTAGGCATGGTCCTGTCCTGCACAAACCTGTAGCCCTAACACTTCGGGGTGGATATAAAAGGATTGCTGGGGCTTGCTAGCTGCCAGCCTAGCGAAAAACAAGAGCTCCAGGTCTAACACTCAAGAGCTAAGAGCCCACAAGGGTACTTAGATAAACACAGTAGGGAAGGACCCAGCAATTGTGAGAGTATGGCTAGGTCACCAGTTAAGCTATTGGGTTCAGGTATCCAATCAAACACTCCACTCAGCCTTGGCATACAAAGATACACAGAACTCAATCCCTGCTCTCAGAGCAGGTCACACAGCTACTGGCCTGGCAAGGAAATCAACTCCAGCAGGGCAAGACTACTTAGATACTGATAATATATGAATCAAAACCACATGGAGGCCCCAGGGAACCTCACTAGGACTTGATACCAACAGCATGGAGTCCACAGTGGGAATACTCAGGAATGAGATGGAATTTCTGGAGGAAGATGGTATTTCTCCTGGGCTCCTCAGGGACAGGTAGAACCATGATGGTGAGCCATAACTGGAGTAGAAAAATCTAAGATACATTCTGGGAGCAGCCCATATTGTAGGCTGGCCAGAAAAAGACCAAGAGGAGGGATGAAACATAGACATTTTATTGTGAAAGAGATGATACACAGATAACATGCCTATAACCTAATCTCATGTCCATGAAATAATGTAAACAGGTATGCATGTGCAGAGGACCCTTGAAGAATTGCTACTGTGGGCTAGTACTGCTCACATGGCACAGCCAAGCGATTAGCCCTTTCTTCTTTGTACTTTCCTATAGCTAATTTCCTCAGTCAACAAATAGTGACTAAGCCTGTGTCAGGCGATGAGCCAAATACATTCTAGTGCCTGTGCCATTTAATCCTCTAAACTCAAGGGGTTTAGTGACTGGCTGGTACTAAGAAAAGGGGCCGGGGAACAGGGATCTGAAACCCTATTCAACATAGTATTCCACAGGATCCCAGGGTCTGAAGAGGTGACAGCAAGCTGACCAGCATTAGGAATCCAGACTCCAGAAATGGGCTTTTTTGGCTTCAAGGCCCTTCCCTTCCCTAACAGGTGGGATGTGATTATGGCCATTAGAGAAATGAATGAACAGACTAGGCTTGCATTTCACCAGGAGCTGGGATTTCATAAAGCTCTAGATTTCACACCAGAAAGCATGGCTCAAGAAGACTCTTCTGTGGTCAAAGGCAGACATGGAACTGCAGCCAGTGTGCTGTATGGCAGGTGACAGGAGCTAACAGGATGCTTACAGACCAGTGATCTTGGCTGACTTCTGCCTTCCTAGCTTAATGCCATTGCCAAGTAGGAGAGGAGGCTCTGAGATAAAATTCAGTTTCTATATGACTGGTTCCAGAGTGTTCCTTGGCCTAAAACACCCATCAGGAGACCTCACCTCACACAGAAATTCTGTCTATCACATAGCCTTGGAAGCAATGATCTACTTTTTCTGATAAGGCCCATGATTGCTGCCAAATAGCAGATGTTAAGAAGGTAGGCTGAAGCCAGCCTGGAGGTTCATGCCTTTAATCCCAATACTGGGAACTCAAGGGGGGCACAGGCAGATGGATCTCTTGAGCTCCAGGCCAGCCAGAGTTACATAATAAGTTCCTGTCACAAAAACAAACAAAAACAAACACAAAACCCTGAGGCTGGGGGAGGGAGCTGGAGAACTTACTGCTCTTACAGAGGATCTTGGTTCTGTTCCCAGCACTCACATGGCAGCTCACAACTGTCTGTAACTTCAGTTCCAGGGGATCCAATGGCCCTCTTCTGGCTTTTGCCAGTACCAGGCACGAACGTGGTACACATATATACTTGTAGGCAAAACGCTAACACATAAGTAAATCTTTTTTAATTTTAGTATTTTATTATTTTTATTTTATGTGTATGCATGTATTGCCTATGTACAGGTAAGTGCACCCATGTTGTGCAATGCCCACGAAGACAGAAAAGGATGTTGGATCCCTTGGAACTAGAGTTAAGGACAATCGTTAGCTGCCATGTGGGTGCTGGGATTCAAACCCGGGACTTCTGCAAGAACAACCACTGTTCTTCACCACTGAGCCATCTCTCCAGCCCCTCCTCCCATTTCTTAAAAAGTCCAGACCAGAGTTCTGGCCTTGGCTTGACCCATGGCCCAAAACCCTGAGCCTCCTCTGTAGGATTCGTGCTCTTTGGTTCTCTTCACCCAGCCCTGAGAACAGTGCTGTATGTTGTCTCTGGGTGCCTCAGCTCTTGTCAGGCCCTCAAGCCTTGGCTGTACATTATTTCATTCCCAG